CCACCTCACACCCATTAGAATGACCACTATCAAAAGAACAGAAAACAAGTGTTAGAAAAATGCAGAGAAATCAGAATCCTGTGCACTATTGGTGGGAATATAAAATGGTTCAAGAATTATGGAAAACAGGGTTGAAGTTCCTTAAAAAATTAAAAATAGAATTATCGTATGATCCAACAATTCCACTCTTGGAGATGCGCGCGCGCACACACACACACACACACACACACACACACACACATACACACACACCCCTACATATATAAAATTGAAAGCAGGATCTCAAAGGGATATTTGCACACACATGTTTATTTATTGCAGCATTATTCACAATAGCCAAGAGGCGGAAGCAACCCAAATGTCCACCGACAGATAAATGGGTAAAGAAAATATGGTAATACAGTATATTATATGCAACCTTTAAAACGAAGGAAATCCTGTCACATGTTACAATAATATGGATAAATCTCAAAGAGCTTATGCTAAGCAAAATAAGCCAGTCATAAAAGAACAAACCCAGTAAGATTTCACTCATATTAAGTGCAGTAGTACCCTTTAACTGCAGAGAATATGTTCCAAGACCCCTAGTGGGCCTGAAACCACTGATAGTACCAAACCCTATATATATATACTGTTTTTTCCTATGCGTACATAGCTATGATAAAGTTTAATTTATAAATTAGGCACACTAAGAGATTAACAACAATAACTAGTAATAAAATAGAACAATTATAACAATATTTTGAAGTAAAAGTTATGTGAATGTGGTCTCTCTAAGTATCTAATTCTACTATAATCACCTTCTTTCTTGTGATGTGAGACACAATGCCTACATGAGATTAAATGAGGTGAATAACATAGGTATTGTGACGTAGTGTTAGGCTATTATTGACCTTCTGACAATACAGAACGAGCACTTTACAGCTTCTCTTTGGCATATCTGAATTGCCAGCATCACTACTTTGCATTTTGGAACCATTTTTAAGTAAAGGATTACTCGAACACAAGCATTACAATCCCACAACAGTTGATCTGATAATGGAGATGGCTACTAAGTGACTAAAGGGAAGGTAGTGTATAGGCTATTATTGACCTTCTGACAATACAGAACAAGCACTTTACAGCTTCTCTTTGGCATATCTGAATTGCCAGCATCACTACTTTGCATTTTGGAACCATTTTTAAGTAAAGGATTACTTGAACACAAGCATTACAATCCCACAACAGTTGATCTGATAATGGAGATGGCTACTAAGTGACTAAAGGATAGGTAGTGTATACAACATGGATACACTGGCCAAAGGGATGATTCATGTCTGGGCAGGATGGAAGCAGGGTGGCACTGGAGGATGAGAGCTTTCATTAAGTTACTCAGAACAGCATGCAATTTAAAATTTATGAATTGTTTATTTCTGGAATTTTCCATTTAACATTGTCGGACCACCATTGACTTGGGTAACTGAAACCATGGAAAGTGAAACCATAGATAAGGGGGGACTATTGTATCTAAGGTAGTCAAGATCATAGAAACAAATGTAGAAAGGTGATTGTCAATAGAGACGGGGGAAGAGGGAGGGGCAATTAGTATTTAAAGAGTATTAGAGTTTCAGTTTTGTAAGGTGAAAAAATTCTAGAGATCTGTTGCAAAATGATGTGAATATACTTAACACTACTGAAGTGTACAGTTTAAAATGGTTTAGATGGTAAACTTAATGTTATATTTTTTACCACAATTTAAAAAATCATTAAAGTGATATGGTACGGCTGCTGTTTGTCCTAAGCACACCTCCTCATGTCACTAATTTGCAAAGGT